CCGAAGACCAATCAGAAAGAAGAGCAAGCCAATTCGACGAGGTTCTTTTGAGGGAGGAGAGTTGTGGTGATTTGGATCTACGAGATAACGCCTGCCCTGGAGCAGCGCGGTACAGTTTCCGGACATTGGTAGTCAATCGACCTTGAGCGCTGACGCCAGTAGCACGTGCACAGCCCCCGGATACACGTCTATGGTGGATCGTTCCAGCCAATCAGATACAATGCAGATAAGAGCAGTATGACGTAAAATGTGATGCAATATGATTGGTGGAAACTAAGGTAGCCAGCGATTTTTTCTTGTGTACATATATATTCACTTTCATTTCCTTCAATAAACGACTTTGGGATTCGCCTGTCTGGTGGCCTTTTTCCTCGCGTCTCGATCCTGTGGGTTATTGCTAGTTCAAGACATTGCGGTCCAGTGCCACCGGTTTTCTAATTCGTGTTCCGTGATTCCTATTGCGTAGTTCGTGTCCTGAATTCTGTGTGTAATTTCACTACTACTTCTACGATCACCAAAATTTTTCCTTGTTTGATTCCCTGTGTGTTTGCGTGTGTGTGTGTGGTTATTGAGATGCATTTCATGACTTGACTCAACAGAGTTAAAATTACTGCTGAGGTAATCTACCAATAAATGCTGAAACATGCATGAAATTGTAAAAATACTCGCATTGCAAGCCACAAAGCTGTAATCAATTGATATTGAAGGGTTTCAATTCGGCATTCTTATAGCAACGGTAATTTTGACGTCTGGAAAATGTTATCCTCTGGTGGATACCCATGAATACTTCCGAGAGTTTTCAACTGCACAAAGAAAACGCCGTACCACTCTTCTCCAAACCTCCATTGGGCAGAGAATCGCTCTCTTACCGAGATCACACTAAGTGACTAGAAACCACAATGTTTTAAAATAGCTCGTTATTGAGGAAATCTATTCAATGTTGCTGACCGCCGTACTGGTAAGCATCACAATGTCCATTAGTTAGTGACGGCTGTTGGATGACGGTTTTTTCCCGAGGTTTCCCATCTGACAATGGTTTCTCATCAAATAACTGTGTGTTAGCCTTATTTGAAAGTCCTGTTTGTGAAATTCAGTCCACAACCTGTGCTAGAAAAAATTGATTGTTTATTCAACTGGATCAAGTCAATTTTATTTCATTGCAGAAAAATGTCCGCTGAAGAGAATCTGCGACCGATGTGTCAGATTTTACGTCATCATCCGAGATTTGAGTCAATTCCGTCCTGATCAACTGTTTCATGCCGTATCTGCCAATCCGGTGCTTGCATTTGAGATATAGCAGTCACCTAATCCACAAATATCGTGGGCGGTTAGCTACACTTGACACGCAAAACTCATTCAGAATCTCCGCTCACTAGTTTATGTATACCGACCAATCAGCTTGCTGACCTTTTAACCAATCATGTGCTGCTCTGTGATTTATTGGTAGCCGTCAATTTGCCCATGTTTTGCAGCAGTGTGAGTGTACATATCGTTGGTGGACTAAACTAATTCTTGCTGCTGTTTTCGGTGTCTGAGAGGTTCTATGGTGTTATTTACCCCCCTTTAATGGTATCTCTACTTACGAAGATCACGTAATATTTTTCCGTGGGATTTCAGTCTGGACGTGTAGTAATCAGCCGTTGTCCATATTCACTGAGTCGTGATGTGTTTTGTGTCGCTGTTGGATAATGAACAGCCGAGGGGAGTCAAGCAAATACTTGACTTCAGAAAAGTGATACGTTGGACTCAAGTATTTTCGACATGATGTGCAAAAGAGCTATCATGATTTTAGTCGCCTACAATACGATTATTACTCGATTATGGTTTTCGATTCCATTTTTCTTAACGGCAAATCAATAGTGATAAGCAGAGTACACACTTAACCTTTGCGTTGTGATTTTCAATGTTTAATATCCTTAATGTGAAGGTTAGAAATTCAAAACCGGGTCATTGCGCAAGTCTGTGGCATAAATTTGAGTGATTTCCATGTTCAGCCTATGATTCAAGCAGATCAATGAAACAGTGAACCGATCAACAACCCTGAATTGAATACAAAAAC